GAGCAAATACATGTGAAATTTTCTCTCATTGTCATTTGATTGCCGTCAATGCGTAATCTTACACGTATCCTCGCCATGATGTTGAGGAAGGAACACCTGGCAGAGGAGTTTCTTAACAAAAAGGGAACTTTCCTTGATGTTAAACTAGCATCCTATTACAGCTGACTTATGAAGGTCAGCCCCTAAGATAGCCTACCCTCGAGTAGTGAGGGGAAAGGGCCCAAGGCAAAGATCGGCTGGATTTTAAAAAACCACACGGGCTACCAGATGGTCAAAATGCCTTGTGTTAACTCGCCAAAGCGAAGTTGCCGAAAAAGAAGAAGATAGGACAGTCAGAAGGATAGCAATGTATGTAGTGTGTTAAGTGTGTGGGCCAGTGTTGATGTATGGGTGAGGGTAGGATGGGGGGATGGGGATGAGAGGGGTGAACAAGCAAGCAAGTCACCGCCTTACCCTCTTGATGGGATGGGGCTCGAAGTGACTGCAAGCAAATTTCCTCTCAGCTCTGGTGAAGAATTACTCAGGATAACACAAGAAAATTCCCGAGCAACAGTGTTCAGAGTTGCTCAGCTGAAGAGCAAGAACGACGACGTCTTCTCTCCACGGTGGCTGGGCTGCTTGAATTTGTCATTTGTCGAATGAGTCAAGTTGTACATGATCGCCTCTTTTATGGGAGTTGTGAGCCATCCTCTCGCATTCCATTGGCTATCATCATGAACTTAAAATGACTGGAGGTTGGTGATTGGCTATCCCAGAACAGGAGGCGTGTCACGAGACGTATCCAGTTAACTGTTAAATTGTGAACTTCGAAGTGCAAATGGTGATTCTCTCAAATTGTGTACTCACCTAGTTGTGGTCGCAGGGGTCGAATCATAGCTTCTAGCTCGGCCTCTTCACTGGTCCCTACTAGGTCACTCTTCCTGCTCCGTGAGCTTTATCATACCTCTTCTTAAAGCTATGTATGGATCCTACCTCCACTACATCACTTCTCAGCTATTCCACTTCCTGATAACTCTGTGACTGTAGAAATACTTCCTAACAGCTCTGTGATTCATCTGAGTTTTGAACTTCCAACTGTGACCCCTTGTTGCTGTGTCCCATCACTGATACATCCTGTCCCTGTCTACCTTGTCAATTCCTCTCAGTATTTTATACATGGTTATCATGTCCTCCCTGTCTCTCCTGTCATCCAGTGTCGTCAGATCGATTTCCCTTAACCTCTCCTCGTAGGACATATCCCTTAGTTCCGGGACTAGCCTTGTTGCAGACCTTTACACTTTTTCTTATTTTTTGACATGCTTGACCAGGTGTGGGTTACGTACTAGTACTGCATACTCCAATATGAGCATAACGTAAACATGTACAGAGGCTCGAACGATTTCTTGCTAAGGTGTTGAAACGCTTGCTATTCTTAGGTTTGCCAGGCACCCATATTCTGCTGCAGTTATTTGGTTTATGTGCACCTCAGGAGATGTGCTCAGTATTATACTCACCCCAAGATCCTTTTTCTCAAGTGAGATTTGCAGTCTTTGGCTCTCTAGCCTGTACTTTGTCTGCAGTCTTCTTTGACCTTCATTAATCTGCATGACTTTGCACTTGGTGGGTTAACCTCCAGGAGCCAGTTGTTGGACCAGGCTCTCAGCCTGTCCAGATCCCTTTGTAGTTCTACTATTACAACCCAGGAGTCCAAATGGCCTGTTATCGTGGGTGTAAAGGGAGCAAAATAAACACAGCAGAAAAGTTTTGACTTATATTATCCTTCACCAATTTAGAACAGCAATATGTACACTATATACAGTGATAGGTATAGTGCACTCCACGATAAGCAAGGCAGAAGAGAAGCCACAAGAGAGCAGACCGTGCTTCAACCAGCTCTAGAATGGGAATGACAAGGGCAGACAGGAGAGTGGTACCCACATAACCTCTGCGATTGCCAAAACCATCTTCTTATTGGCTGGAGCCTGGTTACTAGTTGAATGACGGGGCCCCATCGTCAACTCTCAGTTACCTGGTTCGCTGGTTGGGGGAGATAGCCTGTAAATGAGGGTGTGTACATGCGCCGAATAAAGGTTACGTACTCTTTGCATGCCACATCTACCTAATCCTCATCCACTTGAATTCTCCACAATAGCTTCACGTCGTCTGCAAACAGGGACACTCTTGAATCTATCCCTTCCCTCAAGTATTTCACATGTACCAGAAACAGCACCGACACTAGGACTATGCTGAAATCCCGCTAGTCAAAAGCGCCCACTCTGACACATCGTCCCGTACCATCACTTATTGTGCCTTTCTTGTTATTCCTGCCTGGTCCTTTAACTTTTTGCACTAATCTCTTGCGTGGAACTATGATGAAAGCCTTCTTACAGTTCAAGAAAATGCAGTCTATCCACCCATCTCTCTCTCTCCTGCCTTCCGTCACCTTGTCATAAACCTCCAGGAGGTTAGTGACACAGGATTTCCCTTCTTTGAAACCGTGCTGGTTATTGTGTATAACCTCATTCCTTTCTAGGTGGTCCACCAGTCTCTTCCCAATAAGCTTCTCCATAATTTTACATACTATACATGTCAGTGACACTGGTCTGTAGTTTAATGCTACCTGCCTGTGTCCTTTCTCAAAGATACTGACTACATTTGCTGTCTTCCACACCTCAGGTTGTTGCCCTGTTTCGATCGATGTGTTGAAGATTGTTGCTAGTGGCACACACAGTGCCTCTGCTTCTTCTCTCAAGACCAATGGAGAGATGTTGTCTGGTCCCATTGCTTTTGACATATCTACTTCGCAGCCTCTTTACATCCTCCTCTGTTGTGTAGAGTGTGTTCAGCACCTGTAGGTGTACAGTACCATTTTTTTTTTACTGTAGACCAGTCTATTTCCATTGAAATTACTTCCTTTAATCTCGTGTTTAACTCTTCACATATTTCTTTGTCGTTTCTTGTAATCTCCCTTCCTTCTACAGCCTGATTACCTGGTCCTTGACTGTTGTTTTTCTTCTGATGTGGCTGTGCAACAGTTTTGAATCAGACTTAGCTTTCGATGCTATGTCATTCTCGTATTGCCGCTGGGCTTCCTTCCTTATTCATTCATATTCATTCCTGGCTCTTCGGTTAATCTCCTTATTTTTCTGGGTACTTTGTCATCTACATTTTTTCCATTCTCTAGTGCACTTAGTTTTGGCCTCTCTGCACCTTTGGGTGAACCAAGGGCTTATTCTGATCTGCCCATTGATTCTGTTACCCTTAGCTACGAACCTCTTCTCCGCCTTTTTACATTTTGTAGTCACATATTCCATCATTTCATTCACTGTTTTTGCCACCAGTTCTCTCCCACTGTACCTCATGCAGGAAATACCTCATACTGTGTAGTCACTTGTTTCCTCCTCTGTCCACTCCCTCCAACCCTTCAAAACTCCACTGATGAAACTCCTTCTTTCCCCTCTGTTACCTCAGTGCTTCCTCATGATCTGATATCCACTTGGAAAGATATCATCTGTTATTATTCCTGTCAGCTTGGTTTCCATAAGTGCTGATGTCTGTGGATGCCTCCATGATTCCTTCGTGCCACTCCTCACACTTGTTCGTTATTCCATCTGCATTGATGTACCACACCTTCAGATTTTTTTCCTGAGTTGTATTCTGGGGGTTTGTGGTGGCTTGGGAAGTGGGAGATACAGCTTGACATTATGGTATGCTGCTGTGTGGATTGGGGTTGTGCTGGGGGGGGGGGGAGTTCTGTGAGTGCAGAGTGTGGTTTGATTTGGGTTAATTTGTTTGGTTGCCTTGTTCTGTGGGTGGTTCTTTTGGTAGACTTGTTTGCTGGTCCTCCTGACTCTGGGTGCCACTGCCTGTTTCTAACCATGTCTCTCGTTTTTTGGCTCCTTGCATCTTTGAGTCCTTTCTCTCAGTGTCTGCCACTCTATCTAAGTTGAGGAAACCCCGCTTGCATTTTGTTGTTTTCGTTAGCTATGGTTTCCACTGCAGGATTCTTTTTTGCACCATTTCCGTTCTGAAAACTAATTAGGTTGGTAGATTCCCTCCCCCCTCAAGTATCCTCCGATTCTCTGAAATATATCAGCTCAGTCATGTCCTCCTCTCTTGTTTGTTTGATGATATTTTCAGTTTCTTTTTTCCTCTCCCTGTCATTTTTCTTCATATATTTTCCCTTTAGCATCCTGAAGCCTTTGGATAAAAACTTCCCTCTCTTCTCTTCTTTTCCCATTGTATCTCTGGCTCTAGTTGCAAAATCATCACCCCTGCTTCCCTTATCATTTCCTGTATTTCTATGTAGCTTGACAGTGCCTCTGCAGGTAACCTATTACCAACTCTACCTACAATTCTCTCACTTATGATTGTCTCAGTACCCAGTGTTTGCCATTTTCTCTCCTCGACATTTCATGGTGTCCCCCTCCTACTGGATAATGGTGTACCTGCTCATGATTCCAAGCCTCTTATGTTCATTGTCTCTATATACAGCTTCATGTTTCTCAGTTCATCTTCTTGTCTCTGTATCCTGGCCTCTGCAGCTTCAGCTTGCGGTTCCTACTTCTTTTTGTGAGTGTGTGTGTACTCACCTATCTGTACTCACCTAGTTGTGGTTGCAGGGATAGAGCCACAGCTCCTGGTCCCGCCTCTTCACTGGTCGCTACTAGGTCACACTTCCTGCTCCACGAGCATTATTATACCTCTTCTTAGAGCTATGTATGGATCCTGCTTCCACTACATTACTTCCCAGACTATGTGTATGTGTCGCTAACACAGTCTGATAGTCAACGAAATGAAAATAAAACATATACATACGATTAAACAGCAAAAAGCGGTAATATGAGTAAACATAGACGACATCTCTAAAAAAAATATGTAGCCATAACGAACCATTTCCGATATTGCAAAGAATTTTCTTGCTAGCAAATTATTCTTTGCAATAAGCAAAATGAGTGATCTCATCTCACTAAAAAATATTTCTTACAATAATTAAATGCTACATTTACTTCAAAAAATATTTAAAAATTTCTGGAGCAAGGAATCAAAAGTTCTATGAAGAATACGAAAAGACTGGTGAAATATCCAACCAAAATGATTACAAACATTCCCTGAAAAGCGAGAAAAAAAAATTACACTTCAATTTTTGTAAACGTTATAATATTTAAATTAAGAGAGATAATTTTTAAACATAATATATCTATCATAATACATAATACCTTTTTTAAACTAAAAAAAAGTAATATATGAAAAATAAAATTACCGAAATATTGGTGAGAGAGAGTGCAGCATTGACTGTGATCTTGCTGGACGTACGATAACACACAGTCGAGTTTGGTTCTTCAGCTACCAGCCACTGGAAGAACAGTCCAGCCTCCGTCATCCACATTATTCTGGCGAGTAACCAACAGTATTATTGTATTACATCGAGACTTAGTCCAGTTAATGCGCAGTCAAAGTTATGGCATACCAGTGTTAAATACTGTAAAGATGGAGAAGTACCAAGTTATAGCATACCTGTGTTAAATACTGTAAAGATGGGGAGGTACCAAGTTATAGCATACCAGTGTTAAATACTGTAAAGATGGGGAGGTACCAAGTTATAGCATACCAGTGTTAAATACTGTAAAGATGGGGAGGTACCAAGTTATAGCATACCAGTGTTAAATACTGAAAGAGGGGAGGTCCAATTATAGCAAAGTGTTAAATACTGTAAAGAGGGGAGGTCCCGTTATAGATCCCAGTGTTAAATACTGTAAAGATGGGGGGGGTCCCAAGTTATAGAACCCCATGTTAAATTTTTGAAAAACAGGGGGAGGTACCAAGTTATGAAACCAGTGTTAAATATTGTAAAGAAGGGGAAAAAAAGTTATAGAATACCAGTGTTAAATTTGAAAAGATGGGAGGTCAAGTTATAGAATCCATTTTTAAAACGTAAAGATGGAGAAGTACCGTTAAGCTACCGTGTTAAATATTGTAAAGATGAGGAGATATCTGGAGGTATATCTGGAGAGATTTCCCGGGGGGTCAACCCCCCCGGGGCCCCGGGTCTTGACCGGGGCCTCCTTAGGCCCGTCCCCGGGATGCGACCACACCGCGACTAACCCCCAGGTACCCATTTTCTGAGGGGGAACATAGACAAAAGGGGGAAAGAAAACGTCCATTTTGTTTTACTTGGCTGGGAAACAACCCAGGCCCCACCGTGTGAAGGAGAGCGTTAAACCCCCCGGCCACAAGCCCAAATTATAGCATACCATGTTAAATATTTAAAAATGAGGAGGTACCAAATTATAGAATACCGTTTAATATTGTAAAGATGAGGAGGTACAAAGTTTAGAACCAGTGTTAAATAGAAAGAGGGGGGGGGTACCAAGTTATAGTTTAAACCGTGTTAAAACGTAAGATGGAAAGTGCCCAAATTAAAACATACCGTTTAAAAATTTTAAAGGGAGGGGGTACCAAGTTTTTTGAAAAACCGTGTTAAATATTGTAAAGGAGAGGGGACCAAGTTTAGAAACCCTGTTTTAAAAATTGTAAAAATGAGGGGTACAAGTTTAGAAAAACCCGTGTTAAATATTGAAACATGGGGGGGTACCAAGTTTATAGAATACCCGGTTTTAATTTGTAAAGATGAGGAGGTACCCTTTATCATCCAGTGTTTTTAAATATTGTAAAGAGAGGAGGGTTCAATTTAGCATACCAGTGTTAAAATTTTTTAAAGATGGGGAGGTACCAAGTTATAGCTACCCGCGTTAAAACTGTAAAAAGAGGGGGGACCAATATAGCATACATGTAAAATTGTAAAGATGAGGAGGTACCAACTTATAGCATACCCGTGTTAAATGCTGTAAAGAGGGAGGGGACCAAGTTTTTCTCCCTGTTAAATATTGTAAGAGAGGAGGGGACCAACTTAAGCTACCAGTGTTAAATGCTGTAAGATGGGGAGGTACCAAGTTATGCAACCTGTTAAAAAACTGTAAAGATGGGGGGGGTACCAATTATTCCCAAAACCCCGTTAAACTGTAAAAATAGGAGGGACCAGTTAAGAAAACCTGTTAAATACTGTAAAATGGGGGGTACCAAGTTTTAGCATACCAGGTTAAATACTGTAAGATGGGGAGGGTACCAAGTTTTTAGCTCCAGTGAAAATATTGTAAAAAGGGGGAGGGGACCAAGTTTTTTTGCATACCGTGTTAAATACTGTTAAAAAGGGGGGGGGACCCAAATTTACTACCCGTGTTAAATATTTTAAAGATGGGGAGGTACCAAGTTTTGCATCCAGTGTTAAATACTTAAAAAATGGGGGGGGGTACCCAGTTTTTAGCATACCCTGTTAAAAATTGTAAAGATGGGAGGTACCAAATTATAGCATACCCGTGTTAATACTGTAAAGATGGGGAGGTAAAGTTATACTACCAGGTTAAATTTTTTAAAGATGGGGGGTAAAGTTATTGCTTTCCATGTTAAAAAAATTTTAAAAAATGGGGAGGTACCAAATTTTAAACATACCAGTGTTTTTATGTAAAGATGGGGACGGGGACCAAGTTAAGCAACCAGTGTTAAAACTATAAAAAAAGGGGAGGACCCAATTTTAAACTTTCGTGTTAAATATTGTAAAGTGGGGGAGGGACCAATTATAGCATACCAGTGTTAAATATTTTAAAAAATGAGGAGGGCCCCAATTTGCTACCCTGTTAAAAAATTGTAAAAATGGGGGGGGGGTACAAGTTTTTGCGTGGTACCGTGTTAAAAAACTGAAAGATGAGGAGGTCCAAGTTTAGCATACCCGTGTTAAATATTGTAAGGGGGAGGTACCAAGTTATAGCAACCCGTTAAATACTGTAAAGATGGGAAGGTACCAAATTTTGCATACCAAAGTTAAATACTGTAAAGATAGGGGGTACCAATTATAGCATCCAGTGCAAAAACTTAAAGATGGGGGGGGGTACCAAGTATAGATCCGTGTAAATATTTTAAAGAAAAGGGGGGTACCCATTTGATGATCCATTAAGCGAAGTGTTTTAGAATACCAGTGTAAATACTGTAAAAGATGGGGAGGGTACCAATTATAACAACAGTGCTAAATCTGAAAGTGGGGAGGTCCAAGTTAAGCATACCTGTTAAAAACTGTAAAGAGGGGGGTACCAAGTTATTGCATTCCCGTGTTTAAATACTGTAAAGATGGGGGGGGGGTACCAAATTATGATACCAGGCTAAAAACTGTAAAAAATGGGGGGGGTACCAAGTTTTGGGATACCTGTTAATCGTAAAAAATGGGAGGTACCCCGTTATAACATACCAGTGCTAAATATTGAAAGATGGGAGGTACCCAAATTATAGCATCCCGTGTTAAATTCTGTAAAATGGGGAGGTCCCGTTATTGCATCCCCGTGTTAAATACTGTAAAGTGGGGGGTACCCAAATTTTAGCATACCAGTGTTTAAAAAAGTAAAAAGGGGAGGTCCCAAATTATAAAAATACCAGTTTTAAATCTTAAAGAAGGGGAGGTACCACATTTGAGGATACACGTTAAGCAAGTATTTAATTAAAAATGCAGTAAAAAATTTGGGGTTTCCCCAAAAGAAATGAGGAATGTTTTGATATTTTGATCGTAGCCCCGTTTGTTCTTTTTTTGATTAGAGAAAGGTGGAATGAGGAGGGTTGAGGGAATGGTCCCCCATCCCCGGGGTCCTGTTTTTCCTGGAGGAACCTGGGGAGGGTTTGGGAGTCAACGTCCCCGCGACCCGGTCTGGTTCCAGGCCTCATGGTAGATCAAGGCCTGATCAACCAGGCTGTTACTGTTGGCCGCACGCAAACTGACGTACGAACCACAGCCCGGCTGGTCAGGTACTGACTTCAGGTGCCTGTCCAGTGCCTGCTCGAAGACAGCCAGGGGTCTATTGGTAATCCCCCTAATGTATGCTGGGAGGCAGTTGAACAGTCTTAGGCCCCTGACACATGTATCTGTCCCGCCTGCGTTCTAGGGAGTACAGGTTCAGGAACTTCAAGCGCTCCCAGTAATTGATATGGTTTATCGCAGTTAAGTGTGCCTTGAAGGTTCTCAGTACATTTTCTAGGTCAGCAATTTCACCTGCCTTGAAAGGTGCTGTTAGTGTGCAGCAATATTCCAGCCTAGATAGAACAAGCGATCTGAAGAGTGTCATCATGGGCTTGGCATCCCTAGTTTTGAAGGTTCTCGTTATCCATCATGCCATTTTTCTAGCAGATGTGACTGATACAATGTTATGGTCCTTGAAGGTCAGATCTTCCAACATGATCACTCTCAGGTCTTTTACATTAGTTTTTCTCTATATTGTCTGGCTGGAATTTGTTTTATACTCCTATGTAGTTTTAATTTCCTCATGTTTTCCATATCGGAGTAATTGAAATTTATCATCCTTGAACTTCATATTTTTTCTGCGGCCCATTTAAAGATTTGGTTGATATTTGCCTGGAGGCTTGCAGTGTCTTCAGTGGAAGACACTGTCATGCAGATTGTCAGATATGAGGGTGAGGAACAAGATGGGAGCGAGTACTGCGCCTTGTGGAACAGAGCTTTTCACCGTAGCTGCCTCAGACTTTACTCTATTTACTACTTCTCCTCGTGCTCTATTTGTTAGGAAATTATCTGATCAATCTGATAAAAGACTGATGGACTAAACCATGATGGACTGAATACCTCGACCTGCCCATCTTCCACCGTTCTCTACGTTAGACTGAAGAACCCACTGGCCGGCTAAACGTTTCCAGAAGAGAGATTCACAAAAGTTGCATAAGTGACACATTCATCAACTTGTCAGTTTTGTAAACTCCTCTTTCAATGGTTGTATGTGTTTTCTGCCACGAAGACATTACTTTATAACTTAATTGGAAACGCTCCGCTGCACCTATATAAAGTTTTCCAGTCTTCTGTACAGTGTAGAAAAATGGTACGAAGTACAGACACTGTGAACTCTGTCGAGAACTATGTTGCTAAGATGCAGAACGTTCTGCATGACAGAACCATTTATCAACCAAATGCGTCCTTCGAGTAAGACAGACTTACCAATCTGTTCCTCTCCAAATCAAGACAAATACGGTACTTAGACGTGCACAACAAATCAAGAAACTCCTTCATATTTTAGCCAGTAAATGCAGACTAGCCCGTTCACATAATCTCTCTCGAAGACGCAAACCAGGGAAATCTCTAAGATTTATCACGTCCGGTACTGGAAGCGCCCCACATTAACTTGCATTAAAGCTAACAAAATATCTCTCAAGTTACTGGGAAAAATGAGCTATGCACATCTTCGACATATAGAAAACCTGGACAGGATCAGGAATATTAGTGTTAAAACATTTATGATGTCATTTCTGTATTTACAAGCCCCCCCCCCCTCCCACACCAAGCTGT